TCGGATTACCCAATTCCGACTAGGGAAAAAATAATTTTTTTTTTCAAATTTTGTTTTTTATTTCGAATTAGTTAGAGGTTGGCAAAAAATATTTATTTTTTCCAATTTTGTTTTTGATTTTGAGTTCGAAAAAAAATAAAAGTGTTAGGGTTAAATTATATCAATTCCAAATTTAAAACTTTTTTGAGATTGATGACATATTTTTTAAAATGAAGACTTAGCATTAGCATTATGATTTTTTTAGTAAGAAAACAATTGATTCCTTTGAATTGTTTTTTAATCCATTAGTATTGTGAATTTTATTTTAATTGCAATTTTTGTAATTTTAAGTGCAATTTTGATTTACTCCATTCGTCTAATTAGATAAAAATTTCATTTTGTTTTAAGTGAATTTTTTTGTAATTTTAATGGAAGTGAACAAAACAAATGTAGTTTTCAATATAATTTATTAATGAATAGACGGTACATACAACATTAAATTTAATACTACATCTAATGTTGCGCGCTCGGCCCTGCTCTGTCTCCACCGCCAGTGTTCCAAGGCCCCGTTGTGTCTCCATAGTGAAAAGACGAATTCAGAAATGACTCAACATAATCATCCGGTTGTGTGGACCACTGATAAGAATCATAATACGGCGGTGGTTGATCAAATGACCCACCTTGATGCGTTGAGAATTGAGGGGGTGGTTGATCAAATGAGACACCCTGTGTTGAGAATTGAGGGGGCGCTTGTGAGTCCTCACCCCCATCTTCACGTTCATCTGAATCATTCTCTTCGTCACTTCCACCCGCATCTTCATCTTCATAGTGGAATATGCCCCGGTGGAGCATATCTTCATCACCTACATCCAGGGCCATCTGCCGTAGTCTTTTTTGACAATCCTCGTAACTCGCGCGGTCGGCTAAGAGCTGATACACCTCGTGAACGCCTTGCTTCTACATAAAAATGTAACACGTGTAAATAATATGACACGATATATGGTAGCGAATATGGTATGTATTCAAAAACTTACCACAATACCCCAATCGTGTGCTGTCGGGGTGTAGCCTGTCGTGGGCACATTGTGAGAAGGGTTCTGGACACGTGTCATACCATGCTTCTTGTACCAGTTTCGGTACCTTTTAGTTGCTTCGAAGGACATATATCGATCATAATCAAGAAAGTATATATGATGTTGTATGTCCGCCCACATCGTCAAGGCACGAATTACTATGTTGGAACGAGATCCGTGATGATCAGTACCCGGAAAAGGAGCATTCGGAATGTCTTGCCTTATACCGAACTGCCGAAGAAATCGATCCGGGTAATGCATTTCGGCCATATTGCAAAATATGAGCATAACTCTAGCCGACCAAAGCGGAGCATCATCAAGGATGAGAGGTGGGAGCATCTCGGACGCGTAGGGAGTGAAATCAAACTGTAAAAAGTTTAGTTTGCAACTTATAAACTAGAAAAAATAGTGTATTTTAACGCTGAATAGTACGGTTGAAGTAAAAATTTCATGTACTACCTGACTCTCACTCATGCGGTCTAGGTCATCCCGGTACAAGCGTATGCAAGGTCTTGGGGATCCCTTATAGGACTTGGGGACGATCCACCTACATTTATTGATTACCGATATGAAGTTAAAAAATGTAACGTCATGTAAAGCATTCTCAGTTATTAAGATGTAATTGACAACATACTTGCACCCATATGGAAGATGGCCATGTTGAATGACCTGAAGTGCTGAGGGACGGACCATCGAAATCCTCGACCAAGCCCAAATCTGTAACAAGTGCATACAACCGCCAACTTGTTTGGTTTCCCACATCGCGCCGTTGCACAAGTTATGGTAGAGGTAGCCGAGAACCGCTGATCCCCAACTCCAGCGACGGGCTAAAGCCAAGTCACCCTGCAAGACCTCCAAAAAGTACAATCGTATTCTTGCCCCACTCGTGTCAGGGAACAAAAACCCTCCAAGCAATTGCCATATTAGAGTCCTGGTGTGTTGGGTGACCTCTTCGTCTGTACTGTCATCTAGGATCCGGTTACGGGTAACAGCACTCATAGTGATATCAGTCGTGCGCATATCAGTCTGTAGAGGAGTGAAACCACACGACTGAGTGCACAGGTCGATCCACTGATCCTTACCCCTAATGGTTGGACCACTGAGGGGCATACCCTGAATGGGCAAACCAAGGATTACCGCCACATCTTGTAGACTAATGCCCATCTCACCGAACGGAAGATGGAAAGTATGTGTCTCCGGCCTCCATCTCTCCACCAACGCGCATATTAAACTATGGTCCACCTTCATACGGGCAATGTGCTCTACCCCCAAGAACCCAGCATATGCTAACATATTTATCACCCTTTGATGTCGCGCTTCACATCCGAATGCAGCTGAAGGGCAACTCACGCATTTCAAGCACGAGTCTTTGGAATCTGGTTCATACCAGACACGGTCTGCACGATGGGCACGAAGTGGCAACGTGAGTAGTGACTGGTTAACAGGCCCTGGGCGCGGAGTGTTTTGGTCCATTTGAAATTCCTGAAATAAGTAGTTATAAATTACTAGTTTTGAAATTGAACTCTAAATCTAAATTGAGCACAATTTATAAATTCGGAGAGGAATTCCTTCTTCAAATACCTTGATAGATTGGACAATGATATAGTAATGATTATGTATTGAGATATGAAAATATAAGTTTGAAACAAATGTATTTATAAGGGGCCGAAAATTTAAAAAAAAAAAGGAAATGTGGACGACTTTAGTGCCACATTAGTCCCGCATGTCGTCGATTGGCAAATAGCTGGACGACTTTATCGAACGTGGCCTTTACTAGTGCTGTGATAGGCAATGTGCGACATCCCTTTAAGACATTGTTAAAACTTTCAGAAAGGTTTGTCGTCAAAATGCCATATCTTTTGCCATCGTCGTAGCTCAGAGCCCACATCTCAACAGGAATCTCATTCAAATATAAAAAGGCACTTTCATTTATGCCTCGTATTTGTTCCATACAGTCGTGAAATTCCTGTTCTGTGGGAGTGCTACCAGCTTGCCAACATAATTTTTTCAATTCCGCGTTTCTAAACTTGGTCATGAAATTACTCCGTATTCTTCGGGTAGCTCTACATTGCCCCATGTGGTGTCTACTTCATCGTCTGCATCATCCCTTGTGGATGAATCCACATCAGCACAAAAACCTTGTTCATAATCTGGGTCGTCTGACTCTTCACCGGAGTCTGCATGAATTCAAATGACTTAATGGGTTAGATTTTGTTTGAAGGCGTTATATTATAAAATGTGAGTTTATGTAATCGAATGAGTTAAAAATTACTAAAATAAATACTTCTAAACAAAATAAATTTTTTCTCGAATATAAAATTTCTTAAAATTACAATGTAACAATATAAATATATAAAATTTAAATTATATAGTTTTTTAAAATAAAACAAAATAGGCAGCAGGAAGATTTTTTAATTATAAAACAGTTATTTAAATTAAACTCCCCCCTAGTCGGAATTGCTCTATTCGACATGAAGATTTTTTATTTTTTTTACATTTTAATTCAACGACAGTTAAAATTGGATTCAATACACTAATAAAGATAAATGAAATAATGAATTTGTACAGATATGGTTTGGAGAGAATAATGAATTTGGTAGATGCGGTGGATGCGAAAAATATAAAGGAAATATTAAGTATAATATGCACTAACTTAAAATTCCAATTTCACAAAGCTAAATTAAAAGCAATTACAAAATACAAAATTAACTTCTCCTACACTCGTAAAACCAAAATTGAAGGACAATTCTAAATTAAACACTCTCTCTAACTTTGAAGTATTTTATAGCTAAATTTAACTCTAAAATTCAAATTTAACAATCTAAATTAAAAATTTTGCAAATTACTACATCTACTACGTCTACACTCCTAAAACACCTAATTAAGACAAATTATAAGTTAGCAATCTATGTATAGCTTTTTTAACGACGTGATACTATCTCCGTGTAAATCAATATCGTAAATATATAATTAATATAAGTAATATATAAATCACATATAAGTAATTAGGTACGCGTAATATTATTATAAAGATATTAAATTGAACCGTTATTAATTAGCCTAATTATGCATAATATTAGACTCCATTTTTTAAAGCAACAAATAATTTTTTTTTAAAAAAAATACCCCAGTCGGAAGGGGGTAATCCGACTAGAGGTAGTTAGATTTTTTTTTTTAATTACACTCCATTTATTATCGCAAAAAATAATTTTTTTTTTTTATAAAATACCGTCGGAAATAGGTCATCCGACTAGAGGTAGTTAGATTTTTTTTTTAATTACACTCCATTTATTAAAGCAACAAATAATTTTTTTTTAAAAAGAATACCCTAGTCGGAATTGGGTAATCCGACTAGAGGTAGTTAGAATTTTTTTTTTAATTATACTCCATTTATTAAAGCAACGAATAATTTTTTTTTTAAAAAAAAACCCCTAGTCGGATTACCCAATTCCGACTAGGTGGTGGGATTTTTTTTTTTAAAATTACTCTGGTCGGATTCCCCAATTCCGACTAGAGTGTTATGCATTTTTCCAAACCCTAAACTCTAGTCGGAATTGGGGAATCCGACTCCCGTGTTTTGGTAACCTAATTGTCAGGCCCGCTTTTGGGAATGTAAGACGGGGAATTCCCGTTATTTGGTAATTTCCTCCTATATGTATATACACACAACTAAAGAGTGTGAACCTGTGCATGCAATTTATTTACTAATTTTGTGTTTAAGTGTAATTTTTCATTTATTTTACATTATTAAAAAGCCCACCAATTTATTTGGCATCTAGTTAGGGCAAGAATAGTTAAACAGTGGGTTGTGCCTAGGCTTCCATTTCAATGCTGTAACAATCGTTACGGTTGTTAATAAAAGCGCTAAGTACGGAATGTTTAAATAGTTGCATGGAAGTGAATCTTTTTATAGGTAAATAAAACTGAGCCAAAAAAAACACATCCCGCAGGAGACTAGAAATGGGAACTTCTTCTAAAGCTTTTTTGTTAATTTCTGTCGTCTACAGCCTCTTATTAATAGCCTCAAATGGCTCCGTTTTTAACCAGTTCCGGGCAATCATTAGTTTTGGGGACTCACTTGCCGACACCGGAAACTTAGTCCGTCTTCTCGCACCCGCCGGCGGGATAATCCCATCTAATATCCCGCCTTACGGCGAAACCTACTTTCATCACCCCACCGGTCGCTTCTCTGATGGCCGTCTCATCATTGATTTTATAGGTACCCAGAATATATTTTCTGTAATTTGCGGTTTTTAAAGTTGACTAACTTTACAATTAAAACTTCAACAAAATATATTACGTATTCAGAAACTACGTTTAAAGTTTTATAAAAGTTTTATAAAGTAGTAAAGTCCAAATAATGACGAACAAAACAAAGCTTAATGGATGAACTACTAGTATGTTTTTGTGAAATAGTAAATCAGTAATGGGCAGTTTTGGTGGTATGTGCTGCAGCTCAGAGCATGGGATTGCCGCTTCTTCCGCCGTACGTGGCGGTGGAAAACCGTCACAGAAGCGGACATTTCAATGGAAGTGTGAATTTTGCGGTGGCCGGATGTACGGCGCTAGATGTTTCATATTTTTCGAAAAGAGGGTTCAATAATCCCATCTCTAATGTCTCATTAGGGACCCAACTCAAATGGTTCAAGCAAATGCTTCCATCTTTGTGCACAACTCCAATAAGTAAGTTCCCAGAGTGGTGCATATGCACAAAAATACTCGTGACTTATAAATGAAGAATAATATACTCTCGAGCTCCCTCCTTGAACTTCTTGCTTTCTTTTTTAATATGCTTAAATAAATTAAAGTCTTTTTCCTTTTATTTTGAGATTATGATTAAGAAAATGAGATGATTGGAAAAGATTATTTTCCAAAAATTGTGATGTCAAATATTAAGTCCACATTATTTGAGGACTTTTAATCTACTTCAGTTCACTAGTGTAATACGTACCAATGGGATGCACGAAATATAAATTGTTGAAATTACTATGTTACATAAAAATATACTCCGTAATATGTAGTAGTCGTTTAATTTAGGGAAAAGTACATTTTCATATAAGGGCACGTGTTTCATTTTTTAACAAAGTGGGACATGTGTTTCAATTCCGTTATCACAACAGGGGCATTACGTTTAACGCCGTTAGAAAATCTAATCCCGATTTTCAAAAGATTCTGAAACATTAAAAGAAAAATACTGGGAGGTGCGCCTCGTCTAGGAGACCAACAAACTATCTTTCTTTTTTGTTTCCAGCAACCATGTCGCCAAAAAATCCGTCGGAAAAGTGATATTAACAAATTCATTTTTAAAAAATAATTCAAATAGAGCCGAAAAAATCAAAGAGAACAATAGTTAGTTGGTCTCCTTAACAAGACGCACTTCCCAATATTTTTCTTTTAATGTTTCGAAGACTTTTGAAAATCGGGGTTAAATTTTCTAATGGCATTAGATGTCATGCCCCGAATGTGATAACGGAATTGAAGCACATGTCCTACTTTGTTAAAAAATGAAACATGTGCCCCTATCTGAAAATGGCCCAAACCACAGGTACCTTTTCTGTACTTTTCCCTTTAATTTAATACGGAGTGTCAAATTTTGAAGCAAATCATTTTCTATCTCTCATCGTATAATTAGTTAAGGATTTATAACATTATATACGCAGTAGTAATTATTTTGAATATAATTTATTTGAAGCAAACACACGTTTTGTCATGTTATACGGTTACTGATTGAAAAAATGACATACATATTAATAACAGAGTTTACTCAAACAAAAAAATGGCTATTTATGTTTTTAGACAAAATATGAATAGTCACTGTATACGAGTAATTGGATAAGAGTCACTATAGTGTGTTTCAGAGTGACAAGTCAATCACCGTGAACTAGTCAGCGAATATATCACGTTTTTATTTTTTTTTAAAATATGTCATTTTTCCTTATGAATTTTATAGTACGCATTATTCAGAGATAATTAATAATTGTGATGCCAAATTTATACATTAATTTTTGCTACTGAAGTGTTTTTTATTAATATATGTATAATAAACCATCTAACCTTTTATAAATAACATATTTTGTCCAAGCCAAAAGTTTACTGTCCATTATAATGGAAGTACTTACTGCGTTATATCTCCCTTTATCTTTCAATGTTAAAAAGGCTATGGATGTAAATATAAAAATAAGTAGAAATTGTGGCATTAAAATTTATCTAGAGAATTAAAAATAGTATTGCTCACAATTTCCATAAATGGCAAAAATGGTAATACTATTACTTTAGAGACATGAAAATATTTGTTTCATTTCCAGTTGTGTATGTATGTTGGTTACACTATATGTTTACATTTAAAAACGGTTAATAATTACCCTATCAAAATTTTGCACAATAAAATTTTAGTTATATGAAAATGAAATTCTAGGATTGTGGTTTATTACGAATTTTTTTTGGGAAAAAGGCGGCTTAAATTGATAAGAAAACATTCAGTAAGGGACAAAAGAGATAAAGCAACCACTTCCAACCACCGACCCTCGAACCAGCCGGAGAACCAATCACCCTAAACCGAGCAATCTGATTCGCTAATCCTATAACGGGTCTACATGAGCCTATCATGGCCAAAGCAGAACCTCATCACCCCCACCTAATGTCAGTGTTTGGTAACTCTCGTCATCAATCCTAAGGTCTACAGTATTATTGCTGGAGTAGCACAGCAACACCAAAACAGACAAAAATCCAAAACACAACGAAACATGAATAAAACTAGATAAGCAAAATAAAATTCTTGACCCCAGGGCACCTCGTTCGCTCCCTGATGGTGGTTCAGGAGGAGGTCGGACCTTTGCTATGCTATTTGACGCGGGCAAGACCCGCCTACAAACCCGAACGCCGATGCTCCATTTCGACGCGCCAGACCTCCAGTGGTTGGTCTCCTGCTGAGCCGCTGTTATCGGTATCGTCCCTCCGCTGTTGAGCCGCTGCAGCAGCCCTCCTATCCATGCCTTGCTTCCGTCCGAAGCCATGGAGTCAAAAACCCTCGTCAACAGAAGAAATCGGCGCCGCACCAACAGAGAACTCAATCGGCCGCACCCTCCGTCTCGCCTCCAAATCGGTAAGAGAAAAAAGCCACGTGTGTCACCGGTTGAAGGGAATCAAAACTCCCAAAGACAGCAAAACTCCAGATAGAAAAATGGCTGAATAGCCGCCGCCGGTAGAAAACAAACTAGGTATAAAACCTAGATGGCCGCCGTTTTTTGTAGATGCTCTTAATATTTGCCAAACTCTTTATCTCAATATTGCATGAATTGCTCCAAATTCCGGTGCGGCTGCTTCAGGTCCCAAAGGTTGGCTGGTTTATTACTCCCTCCGTCCCTAAAAGAAGTTCTATTTCACTTATCGAGAGTCAACTTAAATCACTCTTAAACTCTTACTTTTTATATCAAAATTTTATAAAAGTTGAATTATTTTTTGCAGGCTTTGTAGCGGGTTTAATGTAGTTTCTGAATATGTAAATTTTATTTACTAAAAATAATCCGAGTTTTCACAGGGATCATTTAACTTTATCGTCGGTCAACCTTCGTAATCCGCAATTGGAACAACATTTAGGGACGGAGGGAGTACCAATTTTATAAATGAATTTAGTAAGAATTAAATTCTTTCAATTGAACTAACTCCATCCTACAAAATTTTGCCAATTTTCATTATTTAGAAGCCTAAAAAAGCTTCGAAAAAAATTCTATTTTAAGTAATAAATATATGATTAAAGTTAAATCTCTTTCCTCTAGTTTGCACAAATTAAATTTTAACCATACAACTTTGAGCTTATTATTTCATTGGCCAATTTTTGTGAAATGGATGGAGTAATATAAGGACATGGTAGGGTAACTAACTGCAATCATTATTATGTTATTCTGAAGATAGTAATTAACAACTTTGAGCTTATTATTTCATTGGCCAAGTTTTGTCCTTTTGGAGGACTTCTAACAATTTTTTCGACTTTCATAATCCATGTAAATAATAGAAGAAGCCATTAGATGAGATAGAATGAGTCACAAATTTAGGTAGGACAATCACAGTAAACATAAATATGAAAAAAGTTACTCCCTCTGTTTCTATTTGGTTGACACACTTTCCTTTTTTGGACGGTTCAAAATGAATGTCATACTTCTTTATTTCTTTATTTGGTAAACAAATCTTTACCTAAACAGTGCAAAACAGTGCCAAACAGTGTTCAAACAGTGTCAAACAGTATTCAAACAGTGCTAAACAGTGTTCAAACAGTGCCAAACAGTGTACTCTACAGTAAAATTTACCCCTCAATAACTTTTTCCCCTTAAATCTTGACAAGTCAAACTGTGTCAACCAAATAGAAACGGAGGGAGTAATATTTATACGGAGAATCTCATTCACGCATCTTTATCTCCCTTGCCTTTCTCTTTTCTTATTGAATTTTCTTCTTTCTTGGTACCAATAATCTTTTGTTTCATCAGTTTCTTTTCAATTGTTTGTAAGCCCATTGCATTCGTTTCAATTTCTTTAAATGGATTTGAGATATCCTTCTTTTGCTACTAGTATTAGATATATAGTACGTAGTACTTCATATATCATTGACTACATACGATAGTATTATTTTGATACACCTGTCTCTCCTCTCAATACTCAATAGTCGGACACGTACCGAATTGCATACAAAATCTATGCATCTCATCACAATCTTCTTGCTTTGTCATATAGAACAACCCTTCACGATATCGTAGCTCATTCATATCAAACGAATCAATGCTTAAAACACTTTTCTTCCTTCCCCTTCTCGATATTAAGATGAATAATATGATGTTGAATTAGGTGATGATATATGGTTGCTCTCACTTCAGGGTTTACGGGGTTTCCTTTAAAAGGGATTATATTGATCAAGGTCCAATCGGTTTTTCTTTCTTCTTTCAATGATTTTTTTTGTTGGTAAATGATAAATCGATTTCTGTTAAGATCTGAGGTTTCATCCTAAAAAGTCAACCTGTTAAGAGGAGTAGCCCAGGATTTTAATATAGCACTCTATTACTTCTTAATTTACCAGTGTGGTACTTTTTAACACCCCTCATCACGACCAAACAATTCATCTTGATCGTGCTGTCATTCATTTTTGTCGTCGTTTGTCATTGTCATTTTTTATAATCATCGTGAGCTTCTCACAAGGGCCCACACCATGGCATGGTTAAGGATCAATTTGACTCTGATACCATGTTAAGATATGAGGTTCCATCCTAAAAGGTCAACTCGTTGGAAGGAGTAGTTCATGATCTTAATATAGCACGTACTCTATTACTTCTTAACTTACCCTACTTTTTAACAATTTCTCTTCAATTGAATTTCAGTCGATTTTAGTTTTTTCGAAAGTTGATTAATTAGTTCTTTTTTTCAATTAATTTTGAGAGAATCTCAAATATATGATGATCTTCTACACATTATACTAAAACATAACTGAGGTTGCTATAAATAACTTTTGATATTGGTATTTTATATTTAATTTACAACATCTAGAATTTGGTTTACAACTATCAATATCTTTCTTATTGGTTTATTTGTGTTATTTTTATTGGTTATTCCCACTCCATTGTGGAGAACTTTTTGTTTGAGTTTTATTCTAACTTGCTAACATTTATAATTCATGAAATTCTTAATGCACTAGCTATTTTTCATGCATAAAAAAACTATTTCTCATGCATTTTATTTTGAAATTGCCCTATATAGGAGTAAAAATGTGTGTGAATTCCAGAATGGGATTCTCACGTTTTTAATATCTGAATAGGAGTAATTATTATCATATTTTGGTGTGACTTCACTGTAATCATGACATTATTTTCTAAGCTTGACAGTAATTCTATACATTTAAATGGAGATATATATTTATATATATCTACTCCCTAAAAGTTCCTTCTCTTCTCTCCTAATAAATTTTATGATTAATTAATCATGTAAACATTTAATTTAGTTGTATTCACAATAGCATATAGTGATTTCCAAATCACGGGAAAAATCCGCTACGCCACCCGCTACAGCCCGCTACAGCCCGCTATAGCCCGCTATTGACATTTCCGGCAGTACGTCATGAACGGATTGATGTGTAAATGTGTCTATGTTGTGTAAATGAACTCTTAATGTTATAAATGTTCAAACAAATATTCACAATGTTTGTATTAACTTCAACACTCATTAAATATATGTTTTGCGCAATTGAAAATATTTCACGCCGCTGCAATCGCTACAGTCGGCTACAGGCTGCTACAGGCCGCTACCGCGATGACCGCTACCGCTACCGCTGCCGCCACGGCTATTTAAAACCTTGCCTTCAAGTTATTTATACTTTGACAAGTAATCATTCCATCATTTATTTATGTTTATTGCTTAAGTTATTGAAGTTCAATATTCTAATTGATGCATATAAATAAAGTATGATGATACATCCAGAGAGTACTATAAAATTTGCAATCTTTTAATAGGTTGCAAGGACCGCATGCAAAATGCCCTTATTGTAATGGGAGAAATAGGAGGAAATGACTACAATGTTCCATTTATGCAAGACCATCCTACTAAAGAAGTCATGGCATATGTCCCTGATGTTATTAACGTCATCAGCTCAGCTATTAATGTGAGTATATATTTTCCCAGCCGATAAATTCGATTCATACCAATTAAGCAAATGGTAGATTCTATGGTACCCAAAAGGTACCGTACCTTTGTCCACATGGACCAATCAGAATGTTGCAGTTGAATTATTTAAGTCTAAATTAAAATTGATATACCTATGTGCCAATCAAGTGAATGGTAGGTACGGTACCCCCATTTTTTAAATGGGTACCGGAGTTCTCACCTAAGCAAATAACTTAAGGTGACAACTCCGATACCCATTTAAAAAATTGGGTACTGTACCTACCATGCATTTGATTGGTCCAAATCATTAAATCCCTTTTAATTTAGATTTAAATAATTCAACTGCATGATTCTGGTTGTTCCATGTGGACAAAGGTACGGTACCTTGTGGGTACCATAGAATCTACCATAACTTAAAGGTAGATTCTATGGTATCCAAAAGGTACCATACCTTTGTCCACATGGACCAATCAGAATATTACAGTTGAATTAGTTAAATCTAAATTAAAAATGATGTACCTACTTGGACCAATCAAGAGAATGATAGGTACGGTATCCCTAACTTAATTGGATTTTAATTATGCCTCTCTTCCCTTATTTAATTGGCCGGGTTGACATGGATTGCGCAGGAATTAGTTGAACTTGGAGCTCAAACACTGATTGTTCCTGGAAATCTACCCATTGGATGTTCAGCAGCCTACCTCACTCATTTCTCAACTACTAATAACAAGGATTATGATGCCAAAACCGGATGTCTTAACTGGCTTAATGACTTCTCTCGTTACCATAATCAGCTCCTTCAGGATGAACTTGGTCGTCTTCGCCAACTTCATCCAAATGCCAATATTATTTATGCCGATTATTACAATGCAGCAATGAGAATTTATCGGGCACCTAGCAAATTTGGTAATTTTTTCAAATTCCACTTCGGATTTTTTAATTGTACTAGATTCAATCCTAGATTAGACTACACTTGACCAAATTAGAAAATTATATTCCCAAACACCACCTTACTTTACATATTTTGAAGCCATAATTTTATTTTATGTATTGCTTAAGTGCAGTGTTTAAATTATACAGGATTTAAAAGTACGACAAGTGCATGTTGTGGTGGAGAAGGTCCATATCATTATAATTTCTCTGTTCGGTGTGGACGAGAGGGATCAACGGTGTGTGGTGACCCTTCGACCTATGTTAGTTGGGATGGAATTCACTTAACAGAGTCTGCTTACTATGAGATAGCAAGAGGATTGCTTGAAGGTCCATACACAATTCCACGCCTGAATGAACTTTTTTCATTCAAGAATAGCTTTCGTATACACAAGGACAAGGATACGAAAGTGAGAGACTATTAAGTCTTATGGGAACAATGTGTGAAACCTTTATATTATGTTACATATACTTTTGTAATTCAAATAATCAGCTCAAAGCTGATATTCCTTGTATAAAGAAGTTTATTATTTATTAGAACTTAGACCAGAGGATATTATGGAGTGATTCATAAACGTCTTCTGGCCTTCATCCAGTTTGTTCATAAATGGCTTTAAACCCATGTTTAATTTACTCTTAGATGTTGTCGGGCCTGTGTTTGATTACACCTCAGGTGTCTCCTACTCCATTTTCATGCAGCTCACGTCGTCCCTTCAAGTGCACTTACTTTTGAGGTAAGGCAATAAACTAGTGCCCTTACTTTTGAGGTAAGGCATGACTAGTTCATGACCTATTACCTACGAGTCTCACTACAATAAAATGACTTGTAGAGCAAGGCATATCATATTTGCCTCTAAACATAGCAAAGAGCCTCTAATGCTTTTTCGGGGCAATTTAGTGGTTGCCAACAAATAGTCCGTCGCAAAATGTTGGTTGCCTCTAAAAGACCCTATAGAGGCAAAAATTATTTTGCCTCTAACAAGATATATTTAGAAACAACTATACTCTTCCGCCTCAAAATGTCATTAGAGGCAACCATATTATGTTGTGTCAAAATATTATTAGAGTCATCCATATTTAAAGACTTAAAATACTATTGGAGGCATTATTATATGTTGGTTGAACTAATTAGACAACATGCATTTCGTGGCAATTATTATATTTTATGCCAAATTTCATATACTTTAACAAATGATAATATACATGCACCAAAATTTAATATAAATAACTCACAAAAGTGACACATTCTTTAGAGTATTGCGCTGAATATCGAATTAAATTTACTTTTTATGACTGAATGTAGTTTGTAGAATCTAATCGGCAACATCCCCGTAAATGATACGGAGTACTATTGTATGTGAAAACCGAACTAACTAGAGCTACTAAAACATTATGAGTTAACAAGATATATACAATAGCTTCAAGAAAACACATTAAATTGGAGAGATTCTACTTCTTCTTCATCTTCATTAACTTCATCATCTTGCTCTTTGATATGCACCTTGCCAACCTAGCAAATTGTAAATTATATATAAGTAGTTTAACAGCTTTAGAAAAGATGTTAACGAAAGTATAGTAGAATGAAAAAAATTAATGCAAAACTCATTCTCAATAAACTTAGAAAAACCACCTGCTAAAGTCTGCAATTGCAGCTAGTATATACAATCTGCCAAAACACTTGTCAACTAGTTTTTTTTTTGCATAAAACAAAGAGTAATTGTTTATTGTAGACTCATGTGGCCTCTGTTTATCAATAAGAAATGAATGAATAAATAAATGGATAGAAAGAGAAACAGAAATGATACTTTCTGAATTTGTAGAACAAATAATCTGGAGCTGACGGGAAAATTGTTAACTAGTTCTGGGAAAGGTCTATACTGCTCTCTGTTTCAGCTAAAACAACATTCATCATCTTAAAACATCTTTAACCATTCATCAAGTACTTATTTACACTAGAAGTTAATGCTTCCTCACTTAAGAGTAGTATAGTTTGCACCTCCAACTAGCTTAGTATACCAATTGTCTCATGAATAATCTTAACACAATAACTTTGTTAATAAGTTGTGCATGATATGTTAAAAGTTAATAAGTTGGGCATGATATTTTAAACTGAAACACATTTAAATAGTTATCTTATTACCTCAAATAAATGAACACAATGAAATAGTTATCTTATTACCTCATACAAATGAACACAATGAAATAGTTATCTTATTACCTCAAACAAATGAACACAATAATAAAAACACCATAAGCAAGTAAGCAACATCCAACATATATTTCAAAGTCACGCGATAAATTGGTCAAAAAATCAATCACAATACAAACTACATGAATAACTTCAAATTTAAGAGCTCAAGCTCGAAATAAAAGCAAGTAATGACCTAAACAATGGAAGCATAGAAACATTAAACTAAAACTACAGAAAAAGGCTAAAATAGTACATAGTAGTATATAAGTGTTTCCTGCAGGTGGGAAGAACACGGAGAAAGGGACTTATAGTTCAAAGTAGCATTAATAGGTTTTCAAAACACTTAAAAACCCAACATAAAAGATCATCCATAAAAATATGGTCGTAGCACCAAAGTTAAGAAGCTATTATACCGAGACATCCTTGTGAGTATTTTGATACATAGAACCAAATAAGAAGTAGGGCGTACCACTTCTACAGTCATGTCTCAAATTGCTCTAAGAGATCCTTCTGGTTCGGTTTAATTAGAATCTGCAAACAAACACCAACTAATTGTTTTAATATAAACAAGAATTGATTCAAAAGCAATGCTTAGTACTGTAAAAAATCATCAACTTCTAGCTTCTACACGTAGTACTTGAATGGGCATCACTAATAGACAAAATATCACTAGTTACTTGATTCACAAATTAAAAATTGATCATTTACAAATAACTCATTATAAACTAGTCATTAAAATAAATAAATTTGAGTAAACAAAGGTTATATAAAAAATATAAAAATCAGATAGCATATATGACCAAGAAAATGGATATTTAAAGTCACCTCTAATCCCTTCGTTTTGCTAGGAAGTTTTAACGCAACATTCAAACAAAGAGAAGATGAAATTAATATCAAAATTACTAACAAGTCTAACCGATTGAGTCACCCATTGTAGTTGGTCGTGTCACCCTTCTCTCTGACTAAGTCTCCCTCCGGCCGATTGAGTGTCCGGTCCCTTTCTCGCTACAGTTTACCTCTGGCGGATTGGGTCTCCGATCCCTCTGACCGATTGAATCTCCAATCCCTCTGGCCGATTGAATTTCCAATCCCTCTGGCCGATTGAATCTCCAATCCCTCTGGCCGATTGAATCTCCAATCCCTCTTGCCGGTTGAGTCTCCGATCCTCTCGTTGTGGTTTCCCTTTCTCGCTGAGTTTTTTTATTCGGGCTTAGGGTTGAGAATACCCTCTTTTCAAACCCATATTATCAAAATGCCCCTTTTCTATTTTAAATAAAGAAACTTATGAAATTACTAAATAACCTTTACTAAAACCTAGAGTTTGAATACTCCTTTCCAACTCTTTTTCCAAAATATCGAGACTCCTCCTCCAAAGCTACCGAACGCACAACTCTCTTCATTCTTTCTTCCTCACAGCTAGAACAAGGTCAATCTGGTTCAAACTCTCTTGCACTTCTCTTCGAACCTTAGCGCTAAACGTGCCACCTCTCCTTCCATCTTTCATCATTCTAAAACGCTCCTCCTTCAACATTGGCGGCAACCGTGCCACTTCAAGTATCATGAAGGTCAAGAACCCTACAATTCCAATGATTGAAGAAGATAAGCCTAAACGTAAGCGTATGCTGGTAAAATTGGGAGAAATTAGCCCTGCTAAAAATCTTCTGAAGAAGTCAGACTCAAAGCAGAGTAAAGAAATTCACTGAGATAAGGTTGTTGTTGAGGATCCTCAAAAGTTGAATGGTTTTCTCTAAACAAAGAAATTAAGGTAATTACCTATTCATCCCAACCTAATTAATTGTTTTTTGTTCTTATTTTGAATTTGTTTGACCGTGTTTGAACAAGTTTGACGAAGATTGATTCATTTTTTACTGAATTGAAATTAATGTGTTTGACCTTGTTCTACCCTGTTTTTTTTTTTTGTTTTTTTTACCTTGTTCTACCGTGTTTTACATTGTTTGACTGTGTTCGACCATGTTTGACAATTAATAATTAGAACATGTATTCATGATTATTTTGTTCAGGTTCCATTTATGTCTCCGATGGTTGACATTACACTCTTCCCAAACATTAAAATTACAATAAAAAGTTCATTGACAAAGTTTCAAGCACAAATGAAGAGTTGGTTAGGTGATCATCCCGACATATTGAATGAGTTTAGGTCCACTATATTTGGCAAGTACTTAGACGTGCAATATGTCCCTACATCCATCCTTATGTGGCCTTTACTTGGTAGAATAGCGGATATTGAGAGAACTTCTGAGGTGTGGGTTGTGATGAAGGGGGTTCCAATTCGCTACTCTCTGAAGGAGTTTGCTTTAATTAGTGGGTTGAGCTGCACTACTTTAGACAAAGACAATTTTGAGAATGATTATGACGTGGATGATAGGGAAAATTTTATTGATACCCATTGGCCTTCTGTTCTTCGTGATGGAAATCGAGATAAAGTTAGTTATAACACGATTTTAAAACGTTTTCACCAACTTTGTAATCATTTAAATCATCATGATAAAGCTAAAAAAGATTAAGCACGGTCTGAAGTGATAAGAATGGCATCATTTGTGTTTATAGTGATTGTTCTTTTATCCCCTGTCAAGAGAGACCATTCCATTCCTGATTGGATCATTGCACAAGTCGGTAGCTACTATCTAGACTTTCCATGGGGTACATGGGCATTTATGGAGTCTCTTAAGCAGTTGAAGAAGAACTTAAAAAAGAAGATGGATGAGATTATTCATCAAGAGGTGACTCCAACATTATGTTATACAGGTTCCGTAGCTCCGATATCGGTGAGATACTTTTATTTATGACTATTAAATTAAAAAAAATTGGTATTTGTTAAATTGATTATTATTTGAATATATCTTGTTAGGTCTTGTTGTTGGAGTGTGTACCGGACTTTGCTGAAAAATTTGCTTTAAAAAAAAGCAAACTACTCCTGTTTCTCCCCGCACTTGTCTTTGGAAGCTGAAAGAGATAAAGAAGAATTGAACTTGAATAATCAGGAAGTCCAGGAGATTGTAGAAGGTGTAAAAGTAAGTCATATTAAAAATTTCATTCCATTCTCCATTTCAATAAGTCATATTACAAATAATCATTACGATTTGAACTATGGTCAAACTTGGTCAACGATGGTCAAACCTGGTGACGTGCACTTGTCGTGTGTGCACTCAAAATAATATTCAATACTAGCACTAATACGTAGTACAGTGAAGTAGAGTTCGTATCCACAGGGAAAGGAATAATTCTCTTTTTATGAACTAATAAATAAAAGGGGGGTTTTGGTATTGTTGGAATTTAATTAATTAAATACTAAGATGAAGGACTTATATGAGATTTAATTCAAAGATAAAAAGGACTTGGCATTGCTACTTTCCACTTGTTGATATATTTTAGTCGATCATTGTTATATCTATAACTAATCCCCTCTCG